AAAAAAAAAAAAAAAAAAAAAAAAAAAAAAAAAAAAAAAAAAAACAATGTATGGTCAATAGATTATAGAAGAGCTGGCAGAAAGCCATATGAATTGTGTTGCTTGTGAAAATTGTCTCAAATCCTGGTGACTATTTGTCTTCAGAAAATCACACTACCATATCTGTATGTCTTGCACTTGAAGTCATTGAACTTTTGGAATTATCTGTCATGTTTTTTGAATGTCTCCCTAAGTCTGGATGATATATAGGCAAAAATACAAGAAAATTGAATGAGATTCCTCCCCTCCCCCCCCCAAAAAAAATTTATTTTTGTTGTTGTGGTGGTGGTGGTTGGTGTCTGGCTTTGGTTTTGTCTAGCAAATATTATTCTTGTCTCAGAATGAATCAGCCTTCACTGTCCTCCTCCCCCTCCTTAGCTGATATAAAACTAATCCCCTGAAATTGGGTTTCAGGATGGTTATGAGCAAACATATGGGTGGTGGGAATTTGAACTTGGATCCTCTACAAGAGAAACAAATGAGCCAACTCTAGCCCATTTCCATTTTTAACTGTATTAATCTGTAATTTTTATAACTTCTGAATAGGACCATAATGTGCTAACTTTAAAAAAAATAGGTTTTTAAATTTTGTTTTATATGTATGAGTGTTTTTCCTTGTACCACCACATGATGCTTCAGAAAACCTGAGCTGATCTGCACATCTGTTCCGCCCTCTCTGCTTTGTAAACACTTCTCTGACAGAGTACTTCTGTGTCTCTTGATAGCTGGGATCCTGTACTCTTCTCTTCAAGAGGGTTGCTCACATATCAGTTTTGGCTGTCTGTGCCTGGTGTCACTAAGCCCTCCTTCTGTAGAGATGCTCTGCTCAAAAGGTGGCTTTTCAGCCTTGGCTCTCTTCCAGAAACCTGAACTCAGAGAAATGCTGAGGAAAGAAAGCAATGTAGGATCTAATGTGACACATAATAGTAACGAGCACATGAGAATTCAAGCTGGATGAGGCATCTAAGTGAGAATGGGCTAGATCTAATAATAATATAATTCTCTAAGAATAGTAAAATTTTCAAGATCATGGTTCTGGGGTCTTATGAACAGGAGCAACACAAGAATGTCGTGCAGCCCGGGGAAGATGGCAAACACACTGCTTGGCAAATGGCTTTCTGTGGGTCTTAGCAGCTGGAGACAACACTGGACAACATAAAGCATGACAGCTAAAGATCTGTATTCAAGGACTGCTCAGTTAGTGCACACACTAGCAACACAGTCCAGGAAAGCCTGTATTCCACAGTGCAGCAGAGGAACAGAGAAACAAACAACACGTTAGACTTATAGGTGAGAGACAGCCTAGTTCTGAAATAAATAACTAATAAGTGTCTAGGGTCTAATATAAATCTGCTCTGATTTTTTGCCTTAGCACCGAACATGAAAACTAATGAGTAGTGTCTTCATATCAATTTATTCCAGAGCTCATGCATGACCTAGCTCTACCATTCAAGTACCTGTCAACATGGCTGAAGTCAGGATTCTCAGTGGAGGCATGAAGGGCTCGCCACAGGACTCCATCTGAGTGGTTCCATGAGTCCCAGAAGGGATAGGATTCTATTGGAAAGGAGGATAGAAGCATAGCCTCACTAGGACAAAGTATAATAACCATGACAGTCCATAGCAAAGAAAACTATGGCAAAGACCCCTATTGCAGGATACTTGATCACACTGTAAACCCTGACATTGTGTTGTTTACTGGAAAAACCTGTTTCTAGTTGTGGTGTGGCTCAACCCTAACACACATCTTTAGCGCAGGATTAACTAAAGTCAGCCATAGGTCAAGAGACAGAACAAGCAACCAGTTGACATCGAGGGAACATAGGAAAGAGGTAAGAAGAAGTCGGGAAGCCAGATAGAGAGACGTACATGGAGTAGAAAGCAGGAACATTAAGTTTGAGGGACTTTGAGATGTTTTGGAGAGGGAGAGCTCCCTTCTGGGATGTTCTCTGAGGAGGAAGGTCAGCTGGGTGCTTTCCCTGCCTCTCTGAGCTATCCAGCTTTCACCCTTACATCTGGCTCCCAAGTCTTCATTAGTAAAATCAATCAATTGAGATTTTTGTTAAAAACAACAGACCTCTGAAGGATGCTATCCAGAAATAACCCAGGCAAATAGTGACTACAACTGTGCCACAATTCCTGCCAGAGGCCTCCACAAGGCATGCCAACTGGGGGGGGGGGGGGGGGGGGGGGGGGGGGCATAAAGGGCTAGATCACAGAAATAGCCTGTTTACAGTGTTTTTAGAACATGGGGAGGCCATCAAGGTCAGCTCTATAGCCTGACTCTAAGAATCCATGCAATCTTCTACAAAATTCATCTTCTACATGAATTTGCTGAACATAGACCAAGAGGGTGGTAATGTATGCAGCCCAGCCTATCATCTGAATTTTCTACTCCAGGGCAGTGAATTTAGAATCAGTATTCATGTCCTGACCATGTATGCCTGCTCTACAAAAGCAAGATCACGCACACTTGCCTGAAGATGTTCTCATGTGGAGTGAGGGCCTTTCCCAAAGAGGCCATGAGTGCAAAGTTCTCCTTCATCACACCCTGATCCAGGATCTTATGGAAGTCATCAAGTAGTGTCCATTTGTCCCTTGAGAAGTAGATAGCCACATCTTTAAAGGTCACACAACCCTGCCACAATGAAGAGAATTAAATTTCTAGCAAGCCCCATCCCCATGGTACTCATGCCATCCCCCAGACATCTCACTTCGCTTCCTATCTTATGTATCCTACACCCTAAAGCCACTGTAATCCAGTCTTTTCTCAAAGTCC